TAAGGCTCAAGGATAGCAGAGGAAACTGGAGAGGACTTCTGGGGCCTGACTTCAGACTCCAGCTCTGAGGACAAGGGAATTTCTGGAGCTTCCTGACTTCCATTTTGCCTGGTCCTAAGAATGGGTGGCTCAACAGAAGGTGGGGAGGGAGGAAGAAGGGGCTGAGGTGCAGGATGTTTTTGGCTCTGACAGATCAGGGGGGTTGGGGGTGGGGTTGAGGCTTCAGGCAGACAAGCATCTGGGGATTCCGGATCACCCTGGGGAGAAAAGAAAGCCAGTGAGGGAGGAAGAGGTAGTGAGGAGAGAGAATCTAGATGCTGTTGTTGACACTGTTTCAGGTGAGAATATGCTCCTGGCATTTCTATTCCTGACTGTGACCTCTCTTCCTAATGGGACTTCCTGGGAAGGAAGCAGTCCTCTTTCCCACAGACCTCTCCCCCTGTGGTATTTTCCACACATGGATGGTGGTAGTGAAGGGAATGTGTGAGGCAAAGAGAGAAGGAACACAAAGAAAGGGACTTCCTTTCTGAGTCAGGTGGAAGGAGCAACAAGTTGGGAGATGGATATGGAAAACCATGGGAGCCACGGGCAAAGGGACAGGAGCCAACCAAGGAGTGGAGAAATTAGAATAGGGGAAAAGGCAAAATCAAAGCAAGTCTAGAGGAAGGACACTGCTGGAGGAGATGCAGAGATGACCTGTGGGCTGGGGAAGGTACAGCGGCAGCTCTCACCCTGGGAGTCTTCTCATCAGGTGACATCTTGCAATTCAAGTGGCCTAGACAGAAAGCAAACACAGTGGTGGCTGAGTCTCGGGAAGCTGGTTGCTCAGGGGTTGATGATCATGAATTAATGATCATGAAGGCTGCATACCACCCTGGAGTCCCTCTGCCTTCACTTACCTCTCGGCTGCCTCCTGGGGTTCTCTGGGGCTCCCCTTCCTCCACCTGACTGGCTCCCAGAAGCTACAGGGACTGAATCAAGTCCCTGAAGATCCCCTGCCCCGAGTCCAGGCTGTGGTCTTGGCCTGGAGGCCTGCTCTTTCTGGTCCTGGCTCCCTCCTTCCATCTCTTCTCTTTGGGGGCCTCTTATCAGGGTCACTTCTAACCCAGCTGGCTCACACTCTTTCTCTGGCTTAGGCCTCTCTGCCTCTCTCTCAGATACTTCTCCCAAAAGGGTCTGCTTCTCTATTTCTTTCTCTGGTACTTCTGTGCTCGTCTCCATTGCTACCTCCAAATTCTCCTGTTCCCTTTCAGGACTTGCACTTTCCTCCCTCTTGTCAGACTCTTGGTTCCCAGTGTCTCCTGCTAGGGCCTGTTCTCCATCCTGTGTGTCCCTGGCAAACTGTCCTCCTCCCACTGTAGCTGCCTTCTCTCCTTCTGGTGGCAGTTTGTTGGTTTCCCTCTCGAATGGCCTTCTCTCAAGGGTCACTCTATCTGCTGTTTCTTTTGGTGTACCCATGTCTTTCTCCATAGTTTGCATCGCTCTGCCTTGACTCCCCAGTGGCTCTGTGTGTAGTGGGCTCTCTGCACGCTGGTCTTGTGGTATTGCTCTAGATGGAGATGGGCAGAATCCGTTGGCCTCAATGGGCTGGGTCTCAGAGGTGTCAGATGCTGTGGAACAGAATTGCTGTGTAGCCATGAGCTCCCAGGACACATCCATGGTACCTGGAAGTAGACAAGAAGGTAAGAGGAGTGTAGGTTGGGAAGGTAATAGATTGAGGAAGGATTATAATAAATTCATGAGAATAAACCTAAATGGATTATTAGTAGTCAGGAATAGGTTGGTAGTTACAATATTTAGTGCTTGTTTCAAAAAGCCCTTCGCCTTTTAGGAAAGCTTTTTTGGTAGTCTCTCTTTATTTTAAAGATTTATCTATTTATTTGAAAGGCAGAGTTACAGAGAGAGAGGTCTTCCATCCACTGGTTCATGCCTCAAAGGCTGGAGCTGGGCCAATTTAAAGCCAGGAGTCAGGAGCTTCCTCTGGGTCTCCCATTTGGGTGTAGGGGCGCTTGGGCCATCTTCCACTGCTTTCCCAGGCTGTAAGCTGGATAGAAGAGGAGCAGCTGGACATGAACCAGCACTCATAAAAGTACCGGTGCTGCAGGCAGAGGCTTAATCTACTATACCACAGCACCAGCTGTGGGGAGCAACCGGACTAGACTGAGTTGCTGGAATTAAGACTTATTCTATGCATCTGCTCTCCCACAATATGGCGCTGGGAGAGAAGTAAACAGCTTCCGCACAGCTGCCTCCAGTTCAACTAATAAACTGTAGGACTTGCTCTTGATTGGAGGAGAGCAGCGTACTCGGCGTGTGGGCAGCCGAGTTAGGATTGGCGGAGGAGGACTATAAAGGAGGAGAGAGACGGCATGTGCCAGGAACATCTATGGGGAACATCTAAGGGGAACATCTATCCGAATAACACCTGTGCAGCCCCCGAGAAGAGCCGGCCGGTGGTGTGCCGCTCCCCTGCGGAAGTGGGGAATGTGGCCAGGGGGAACTGCCCTTCCACGGAGGTGGAAGGGATAGTAGCCAACCCGGGAAGAACCAGCAGCAAACCCGGGGAGGGCCGAGCAGACAGAAAGAACAGCGCAGGGTCCTGTGTCGTTCCCCCACGAAGACGGGGAGCGACATAATGGTGCCGTGACTCGGATAGGAAACCTAGCTCTGATAGGAAACCTAGGATGGATTAGCAAACTTAGGAGGGAAGAAACGGGAAGAAGCGGAAAATACCTGAGAGAGAGACTAGCAAACAACCTAGGGAAAAGCCGGACAAAAGAGGTGCCGGAGGAAGCTATTGAAAGCCTAGGCATAGACTCAGATACGGACTACGGGGGGAAGCTGGGAGAAATCTCTAAGGTCGAAAGCGAAAGTGAAAGCTAGAACAAACAGACTCGGACGCGGACTGTGGGGAGAGGCCAGGAGAAATGAGGGAGGAATATCGTTGGAGGAAAGTTTGGGGAAACATACCGGGTAGAGAAAAATGTTAGGGAAATTGAAGCCGCGGGGGGCAGGCCAAGGCGGACACGAAAGCCACTTTGGGGTTCTCAAGTTAGCCCGGGAATAGGGGGCGAAAAGTTGAAACCAGAAGCTGAAACGTAAGCCAGATTGGGATCCGTCTGATTAGCCCGGGGAGCAAAGGACGGGAAGCCAAACCGTGGGGCGGAGACGTATGCTGGGTTGAATTCGCCAGGCTAGCCCGGGGAACTTAGATTGAATGCTAGTGGCGGACACGTAAGCTACGCTGTGTTACTCGCGGAAGCCGCCGCGTGCAGAGAGAGCACGGGGCGTGAATAGATAGGGAACGGGGCTGGCGTAGGCCGTGGTGCAGACGCGAAGGGCGTGGAAAGCGGAGCCGCGCAGATGAGAGAGGCGCTGGCTGAAGCGGCGCAGAGCCGGGAAGCTGCAGGGATAAGAGAAATAGAAGTTTAGAAGCAAAGTGAGAGAAATAGGAATGCTGGAAGATAGAAGTAAAATGGGAGAAATAGGAATGCCCGGAGATAGAGAAATAGAGAAATAGAAAGGCCTCCCTACAACACTGCAATGTGAGAGCTTGGATTCGGTCTGCCTGATTAAGTGAGGCGATGAGCACGATGAGCACCTGCGGCGGCTAGCAGCTTATGCGCCGCAGGTCACCGAAGACAGGCACGAATTAACATCAGTAAGGCCTCCCCACAAAAAGGCAATGAGAAGGCTTGGATTCGGTTTGCCTGATAGGGCTTGTAAGCCCCTGCAGGCTCGACCAGAGCATGCGCTGCAGGGCACCGAACACAGGCACGCATCAGCGCCTAAAAACCTCCTCACAACATGGCGAAGAGAGGACCCGGATTCGGTTTGCCTGATTGATAGGACTTATAAGAGCCTGTGGCAACTCTAGCAAATAGAGCAGAGTGTGTGCCGCGGGACACCGAAGACAGGCGCGTATCAACGCCAAAAAATAAAAAGAAAGGGGGATCTGTGGGGAGCAACCGGACTAGACTGAGTTGCTGGAATTAAGACTTATTCTATGCATCTGCTCTCCCACAATATGGCGCTGGGAGAGAAGTAAACAGCTTCCGCACAGCTGCCTCCAGTTCAACTAATAAACTGTAGGACTTGCTATTGATTGGAGGAGAGCAGCGTACTCGGCGTGTGGGCAGCCGAGTTAGGATTGGCGGAGGAGGACTATAAAGGAGGAGAGAGACGGCATGCACCAGGAACATCTATGGGGAACATCTATCTGAATAACACCTGTGCAGCCCCCGAGAAGAGCCGGTCGGTGGTGTGCCGCTCCCCTGCGGAAGTGGGGAATGTGGCCAGGGGGAACTGCCCTTCCACGGAGGTGGAAGGGATAGTAGCCAACCCGGGAAGAACCAGCAGCAAACCCGGGGAGGGCCGAGCAGACAGAAAGAACAGCGCAGGGTCCTGTGTCGTTCCCCCACGAAGACGGGGAGCGACACCAGCCCCCTCAGTAGTCTCTTAAAATATGATCTAAACTAGTTGGTCAATGAGTAGGACTTAATTTGGCATTTTTCTTCTGATGAGACAAAACAACATCAGCAAAATATAGTATGAAAAGAAACAAGTAGATGGAGAAAGGAAAGGATGCCAAGTTAGTAACTCAGAGAGTTTCCTGTACCTGAACTCTGAAAGCTGCAAGAGGAAGATGCAGGCTCTGGAGGTGGATTCAACAGGAAGGCCTGGGTAGGTTCATCTTCCAAATTCTGGTCTGTGGCACAGGAGAAGATGGCCTAGGTACTGCTCCCCCGGGAACCCCAGGTCCTATTCCCAGTCTCCTGCCCTACCATGCCAGCCTTCATACCCTTCAAGGACCACCAGTCCAATTTCCCTGCTCCCACTGGTACTGGGACCCAAACCATAGATGTCCTCACCTTCCACGCTCTGATTGTCCCTGTCCACAAAGCACTGGGTAGCTTGAAGTGCCACATCTTCAAAATCTAGTGGGAAAGAACATAGGATAATTAGAAACCTTACCCAACCCTTAACTCCTCACTTTATCTCTACTATTCTCTCCCCAACCCCAACCCTTATAACCATTGGTTTTATCAGGGATCAGGGGAGGACAAAAGCCAGCACTTACCATCAGAGTCTTCTTCCAAGTCCTCGGTCCCGCCCACATATAGCTCTCTCTGCTTTCCTGTGGGGGACTGGGCTCCCTCTCTTTGTGGCTGGGTGGTTCGCCCTGGAGTACCTGTGTCCACCACTAGGTCTGTGACATTGCTCCTGGAGACAGGGAGAAGGTCCTGCTCCACCTGTGCCATAGGTGACCTACCCTGTGCCCCCAACTGCAGAGCTCTCTCATGCTCAGCTGTAGTGTGGTCTATTCCCACATCCCCATCTGCTGGAAGCTGGCCCTCTCTTACATCTGCCACTACTGAGGCTGCTAAGGACATGCCCTCTTCTGTGCCTGTCTCACAGTCTCCAGCTACAGAAGGCTGGACTCCCTCTGGAGGCAACACAGGCAGTTCTGCTGGGCCACCCTCTGCTTCCACCTCGGTTTGATCTGTCCCCAACACAGGCACCTGATGCTTCTGTAGATGTACAGCAGCCAGCCCTGGGGACACTTCCTCCTCCAGTTCTGTGTTGATGGCCACTGGGGCAGATGCTTGGCTTCTCTCCAGGTGGATCCCAGGTGAGCTCATGCCTGCTTCCACATCTGTATCACTGTCGTTAGGAGTAGGTGGGCCCATCTTTGACTGTGCCGTAACTAGGGCTGCATCCTTGTCTGCGTGACTGTTGGGAACAGTTCGGTCTGCTGGCAGCCCCTCTTCCTCCACGTCTGTGTCACTGTCTCTCCCAGAGGTGGTTTGGTTTTGCTGCAGAGGGACCTCAGGTTGGGCCCTGCCCCCTTCCATATCTCCATCTCTGTTCCATATAACAGCTGGGCTCTCTTTCAGACGCGCCAAAGTAAGCGCTGCAGAGATTTCTTCCTCATCATCTGTGTCGCTGTCGATCACCATGGGGGCGTGGCTTCTCACCAGAGGGACAGTGAGTGGGGCCTTGTCCTCCTCCACATCGGTATCACCTCTAGCCTGGCTTTCCTGCACATGTTGCAGGCCGAGTGCTCCAGAGCCCTGGGGACCAACTCCACGGAAGATTTGCCTCTTTTTCACAGGAACTACAGCTGGGGTTGCAGGGATTTGCTCTTCCTCCACATCAGTATCACTGTCCATGAAGCCAGAAGGTTGGACCCTTTCCAAGTGGCCCACAGTGGGCCTTCCAGGAAGCCTGCTGTCATTATCTGCATCTGTGTCCTCAGGAGCTTGGTTCCTCTCCAAAATCTCCCCATCTGGAGCCAGCCCGTTGCTTGCCTTCCCCTGGACTTCTGTGCCGTTGTGTGTTTCTTTCATGGCAGGCATGAAAGTTGCGACGCCATTGGCTTCAGGCAGCTTGGCTCCTGTGGTCGCGTCTCTTCTGGCAGCTGAGGAGGCCTCCTCTGCTACTGGGTGCTGCCCTTCTTCCTCATCTGTGTCACTGTCCAATCTGAAGCCAAAAGATGGCGCAGGGCCACTCGGGGCAGGAGAAAACCCCTCTTCATCACTATGAAGGGAAGAAAAGAGCAAGGATCCATAGAATCTACTTGCCAGGGAGGCACACCCCACTGGACCACGAGCTCCCTGACAGCAGGCAGGCACAGTGTAGTATTTGTTTTTCTACCTCCAGCAATCAGTTCAGTGCTGGGCACATCAGGGGTGTGCTATAAAAATTGAGCAGAATGAATGAATATAAGGGAACTTCAAATCGGATTGAAAGATCAATTTGTGGTCCAGAAAATGTTGAAATGCAATCACAGGTTCCTCATAATACACATTATCCATGAACTTTCTGAAGACCCCATGTACCACAGTGCCCCCAGCCCCAATTTTCATGATCTTTATCTCTTGGAGGTTGAGCCTCCAGCCCCTGGCCCAGCCTCCTTCTGAAGACTCAAGTGTCTGACCCTAGGCACTCACCTCTCTGGTACTACTGTTGCCAAAGAGGGGGATGCGGTCCTTGAGTCTTGCATCATACACCTCTTTGAATCTGTCAAGAACAGAACAGAGTGACAACTTTATACTCCTCATCCCTGCCTCCTCATCCACCCTCCCAACACATACACTTACCTAATTCTTCCTCTGAATCCTCAGCCAACTGAAGCCTCTGAGGTTGAGCTTCTCCCTGTACCCTGGGGGTCTCCTCTATAGTTAGAGGGCCCTGGGGAGCACAGGGTATGGGGATATCCAGGCGATGGTACTGGCAGAGCAAGTCAGCAAAGAGAATCAACTGCCGGTCCTTGAGACAATGACTCACCCCAGGTTTCAGGACCTTAGGCGGCCTCAGGATCTGAGTACCATTGAGGCTCCCACAGTCGTGGAGGAGAGGTGCCTTGCCCTGGGCCAAGATTTCAATCACTGCATGTTGTTTGGAGATGGATGGAAACTGCAGGGCCACAGAGCAGTCAGGCATTCGGCCCACTACATTCTTCCCGAGGTACAGTGGGAAATCTAAGAATCAAGAGAGGTCCACAGGTTCCAAGGTCAGAGTCTTGGCCTGTCATTAGGAAAATGTTCCTATCACATAACCCACTACTCAGTAATGCCCCAGGCGCATCAGAAAAACAAAAGGTCCTAGCACACCTAGGAATTAAAGAACATGTACAATGCACTATTCATATGTAAAACCTCACCTGTCCACATTGGTCATTCTAAAACTGTGATAAATACACATAGCACAGGGTTCTGGGCATTACACACATTCACTGTGTTGGCCAACCACCAACACCATTCATCTCCAGACACACTGGGTTTTTTATCTGAATCTCTTTATCTTCTACTAAAATAAAATCACTCCCAACTAGGCCCAGGGCACTAGCCTGGAAAAATGAACTCAGTCTGCCCCTCCTTCTCCAATTCCAGTAAAAAATATTTCTTTAGATCTCTTTGGAACATATATAAGCTTCCCACAATCCTTCGCCCACCTCCCCACAAAAATAAAAAGACCAATATTTTAGCACCCAATACCCTCTGACCTTTCTCTGGTCCGTGAGTACTACTGAAGACGCGCAGTCGCCCTACGGGCTCCAATCCACCTCCTGCAATGTGGTTGGATTGCTCTGTGTCCTCCTCATCTTCAGTCTCCAAGATAATAGCCTGTGTGTCTTCCATGATCTGGGAAGGAAACATTATCATCTCCATCACTGGCTCACAGACAGAGCATCAGAGATGAGACTGATAATGGGGTAAATCTGGATAGTTATGGAAGTTGATACTTGTCTTTCCTTCAGTCATTCTGTTATCCTTTGGAAGCATTTAAAAAGATTTTTGATCAGGGCTGGCACTGTGGCATACTAAGGTTAAGCCTCTGCCTGCAGCATCAGCATCCCATACAGACAGGTTTGAGTGCTGGCTGCTCCACTTCCGATCCAGGTCACTACTAATGTGCCTAGGAAAAGAGTGGAAAATGGCCCAAGTGCTTGGGCCCCTGTACCCACGTGGGAGACCTGGAAGATGCTCCTGGCTCCTGGCTTCTGCCTGGCCCAGCTTTGGCTGTTGCAGACATTTGGGGAGTGAACCAACAGATAGAAGACCTTTTCCTCTGTAACTCTGCCTCTCAAATAAACAAATATTTAAAAAGTATATATTTTTGACCATGACACAAAGAAAGATAAATATTACAAGGTCCTCATTACACAAATATATACAAACATGTTTATTTATATATTTTTTGAGAAACAATGCTACGATAATACACTAAAATTCTTATTTCTGTTTTTCCTATTCTCTATATTTTTAAATTTATTGTATTTGAAAGACAGAAGAAACAAAGAAGGAGGGAGCAACAGAGATGGTCACAATGGAGGGGGCTGGACTCAGCTAAAGCCAGAAGCCAGGAACTCCATGCGGGTGGCAGGGGCCCAAGCACTTGGGCCATCTTCTTTTGCTTTCCCAGGCACACTAGCAGGGAGCTGGATTGGTAGCAGAGCAGCCACAGTAATATGGTATGTCAGCATTGTAGGCTGTGGCTAACCCTGTGTACCACAATGTCAGCACCTCTCCTTATACTTTTTAAATGAACATTTACAACCTATTAAATGAACTTCACTATCCACAACTGGGCTGCAGCCCACTGCTCATACACGCCAAGTCTGTGCTGGGCATTATGTGTCACGCACAGTAGACGACAGAGGTAGACATTTAGGAAACTAACGCTGAAAATATGAGATAATTTGCTCCGGATAACACAGCAGGTTAAGTAGACAGGTAAGAAGAAATGTTCTTTTGGTTGTACTGCCCGTACTTTTTACACTTTGCCAGAGCACCTCGGCGTGATCAGACTAAATTACAAAAACTCCTAATAGTCGACATAGAGAGGATTCCGGTTTCTTACACTGACTGCCTCACTTAGTCTCCACAAGAACCCTGTAAAGAGGCATTATTATTATCTTTTTCTTTTAGCTAAAACAACATATATGGGTGAAGGAACTTGCTCAGAGTCACTCAGATCTCTCTTTTTAATATTTTCTGATGGTTTTCCCAGGGTAAAATAAAACCTAAACTCCTCAGCAAACCTCCTCCACCCCACTTAAGCCTTTTGTTGGGCACTGCAAGCCCCCACCCTCACTCCGCTGACCCGCATGCGGTCCAACCAAGCCTCTATAAACACACTCCCCTCGGCCCCACAGCTGATGCCCAAGGCCCTTCCCTCCTGGTTTCCTGATCGACTCCTGCCCACCCTGGGGGCTTTAGTTCAGGCGCAGCGCTGAAGACGCTGGCATCTCACATCCGAGCGCAACTCCGCTTCCAGTGTCAGCTTCCTGCTAGCGGGTACCCTGAGAGGCAGCGGGCAACGGCCGCCCACGTGGGAGGCTTGGGATTGAGTTCCAGGCTCCTGGTGTGGGCCCGGCACAGCCCCGACTTTCAAATCGATAGTAACAGTAATCGCCGTCCTCTGTTCAAATGTCCTCCCCTCATTAAAGTCCTTCCTAGTTTCCGGTGACCCTGGTGGCCGACGGCCTTGCGCCTACCCTGTAACCACCACTCTCACACTCCGCCGCCCCTCCCCCCGGAACTCTCCCTTTCCCCCCGGTGCCCATCACGGTCGTTCTACGGTGGTGACGGCGCGCCTAGGGCTGATCAAAGAACGGGGGCCACATCCGTGAGGCAAACCCTACATGCACCCTGCCCTCGCAGGGCTGCCTCACTGAGCCTGCTAGGGGCAGAATGAAAGGAAGAAATAAGGATGGAGTTCACTTACAAAGAGGGAAACGGGCAGCTAGGGAAAGGAGGACGCCCCCGAGGCGAAAAGGTTCACTTCGGCCTTAAGACGGGCCAGCCCAGCGGGCGCCCGCGTTCCTCGCCTTGGAATCAAAGGACCACCATCTTTGATCCCCGCCCAGTGGGGCTCCGTCGGGATCCAACGCCTCCCGGGGCGAGGAGAGGCGTCAGGTGAGGGTGGGCATTTACAGTCCCACAAACTTTCGAATTACCTCCGCCCAGTCGCACCCAGGGCACGCCCCTCCCGCCCTCCGTCGGAATCAAGATGGTACCCGCGAAGATGTGGGCGAGGCCCTCAGAACTCACCTACTTGGAGTACGCGCGCGCGCGCCACCCGTAACGGTCGCGACCGGGGCGGTGCGAATGCGTGCGCCGGAAGGGACCCGGCTCGCTGATTGGCTGTTGTCGCTGTCCTTCACGACCGTCCTGCACGTTGATTTGATGACGCCCACAGAGCGGCGGCACATTCGAATCCCCTCCCCCAACCGTCCCCCCACAGTTCAAAAGGAAAGCATCTCCCGGGAGACAGTGCTCAGTTGAGGAAGAGTAATCGGAGGCCGCGCGAAATAGCGCATTCTGATTGGCCAGCTCCAAGGGACCGCCCACTGCCGTTTCATGGCCCACCGCCCACTTCCCGCGCAGACTTCCAAACCGCGACCAGAGAGTCTGGCGCCAGTTTCTGGCGGCGGATAGAGCGTCTCTGTACTACAGTCGTCGGCCGCGTCTGGTCCGGCCAGAGCGCCCTTTTCCGGTCCTCCCAGACATGGTGTCCGCTGACTCAGGAGAAACAAATGGGTTGCGGATTGCAGTCGTGGCTCCAGGCTGCAGTTTGGAGGACAGCCCGTAGGCGTGGCACTTGAGGCTCCTCACTGCAGTGGAATTTCATTGCCTTTTGATTTCGCTTGTTTAGTAGAAGTCGTGTCATTTCCTCCTGAGAATACATCCCCGACGGACATTTTGAGGACATTTTCCTAAACGGAAGATCCTAAAATAAAAATCCAAAGCCTAAGAGAGGAAACTGTTTTGCTAACCGTTTTAAAAGGTTGGCCTCACTTTTCAAGGGGCAAGGCAAGGATGGAAAGTAATTTATTTCATTATAACGAGACATGAAGAGACCAGGAAATAATTTGATAGGGATCTACTTTAGGTAGCTCTTTCCCGTTTGTTATCTCAGCTCGGGCCACGAGAACCAAACAGAAGTAGATTTTATCTCTGCAGCTCTGCGAAGTTAAATGACTCGCTGGGTTCCTAATGCAGAGACAAATGGAAACAAGTCCTCCAGTTCTAAATCTGAGCTCTTTACTGCAGAAAAGCTGCTTTCGTTGTGAGCATGCCCGAAAACATAAGATATTTTAATGGAGTACAAGGGTCCTACACTCACTTAACGCTCCTTCATTTGGAAGGTGATTTAGAAATGTGCGCTGATGCTGATGGAATGTGGATTAACAATGACCTTGACTGGGACCACACCTCTCTAGACTGGTGCTTACCGCATTTCTCATCGAACTGCAAGGTCCTGGAGGCCAGGGAACGGATTCTTAATCATTTTTGTATCTCTTGCTCCTGGGTTGGTGGATAGGTAGTACCTACCAAATGAGTGAGTCCTTGGGAAGCAGGTGGACCCCGTGGAAGCCCATTCCATTTTCCACTCTTTCAGTCACCCCTCCCCCTCTGCAATGGCCACCGCCCGCCTAGTCAGTGAAACTGAAACGCACCGATTTCATCAATCTGGACAGGCCGTCTGGAAAGACCGAAATCCTATGAAGCTTCAGACTCCCTAGTTCCCCGTTTTCACAAGAAAATCAAGCTGTTTTCCAAGGCCCACATCCCCATAACGGAGGCTGCAAATCTCAGCACTTCCTCTAAACGCTGCAACTTACTCCTTGAACAATAGCTACATCCCAAAAGACCCTCGCTACAGTTTTGTTTCTCTGTCGCAACTTTCTCAGTCCCAGACTCCCAGGGAGATATCAGGAAGGCAATCCGAGGGGGCAGCGGCTTATGCGGGTTCAGGCTTTGGGTCACCCAAGGGCCAGAGTGCTGCACCGCTCCCTGGTTTTCGCTGAGCTTAGCAGTCCTGTCTTCAGACAGCTGCTACTACAGGGAGCTTTCTGGGCGTGCCCTCCTCACCTCCCAGCCCCCGGCACCCAGGACTCCCCAACCCCTGCATCCCCGAGAACAGCCCCCTTTCTGCACAAAAGAACTCAGGCACAGAGGGAAAGAACCGCAGACACAGTCCTGCTCTATTGCAAACACACGCAGACGCGGCCGGTACCCACCCCTAGTCGCTGGAATTTTTTTTTTTTTTTTGCAGCGTGCACAACAATAGGGAACTACAACTCCCAGGGAGCACTGCGCTGGCCCGCCAGCGTGGAGACCAATGGGCGGCCGGCGCCTGTCGGCCGCGGCCAATCAGCGGCGGGCTCGGGGCGGCTTTGTCTGCAGAGCGGGGCGCGGGCTCGGTCTCCCGCCTCCCGGGCCGCGCACGCGCGCCCCGCCCTGGCGACCGCGGTGCCCCGAGCGCGGCGCTGTTTGGGCGCGGGCGCGAGGCGGGGGGCGCCCCTTGGTCACCTCGCTGGTGGGCCCGCGCGGTGCCCCTCGGGCGTTGCAGTCAGCCATCGGCGGATAGACGGGAAAAAAACAATAACCAAAACCCAGACTACCCGAGTCACATAGTTCCTTGCCCCGCAGGCGAGCCAGAGAAAATTAGATTCCAACCATGAGGGAAATTGTGCACATCCAAGCCGGTCAGTGTGGCAACCAGATCGGTGCCAAGGTAAGCGTTTCCAGCCTCTTCTTGGAGCCGTCTTTCGTGCTAGAAAGCATGCTGTAGAGACGTTGGCGGGGCAGCCGCGGGCTCCACGCTCCCGCGAGCTTTGTTTTCGCCTGAGTTGCTGCCTGTGCCTGTGGCGAGCCCCCCGGCTCTCGGGAAGACGCGGGGCTCGTTTTCTCCGCCAGGCGCAATTTTTGGGGGGGGGGGGGGGGAGACGCTCTGCCAAGGTTCTTTGTGCGCGAGGGGCGGGAAGACAGGACTTGGAGCGATTTCGCCTCGGAGGGTTTGCTAACGGTCCGCGCACAAAGCGGGGCGCGGTCTGGCCCACGTGCACCCCGCCGCGCTCTGGGGCTGGGGTAGGGGCAGGGGCGAGGCTGGGCCCCGGCGCGCGGGGTGGAGGCGAGGACCGTGCGGCGTTCATTTTACCTCTATTGCCCCTAGGAGAGCCCTTAGGGCGTGAGCGGACTCGGAGAGGAAGGGGGAGGGGGCTGGACTTTCCTGCGGGGCCGAATGGCGGGGGGACAGAATTTCTATTTAAAACTAGGTGAAGAAGCGAAGGAGGAGAGATTTCGGGGCTGACGGGGATTTTTTTTTTTTTTTTTTTTGCGCGGGCTGTTACAGAGTAGCGGGGGCAGGGCAGGGAGGAAGTGCGGCGTTGTAGCCGAAGGGCGGGCCCGCGGGGGCGGGGCCAGGCGCGCGCCCGCGCGGAGGCCCCGCCCCTGGCGGCGGCGCGTACGCGGAAGCCGCGCCCCGGCCCCGCCCCCCGCGCGCAACGCCCTTCTTTGTCGGCGGCCCGGCGTGCGCGTGCGCCGCGGTCACGTGGGCGGGCGGACTGCGGCAGCGGCGGGGGGCGCGCGGCGCGGGTCCATTGTGTGCCGCGTGGACGGGCGGTGCCCGGCATGGGGGGCTGGGAGGGGCGCCTAGCGGCGTCGGGTGACCCCCGCGGCGCTCGGAATGCCGGGCCGCCCGGTCGCGCCGCGTTCCCGCCCCAGGCTCTGGGAGGCTGTGGCTGACTGCAGGGAAGGGCGCGGCCGGCACATAAAGGACCGTCAGGGCCGCTTTGCTCGCGTCTGCGGTGGAAACGAGGGGCGCGTGGCTGACTGGGGCTCTTCCCTCCGCCACGCCCGCAGTTCTGGGAGGTGATCAGTGATGAGCACGGGATCGACCCCACCGGCACCTACCATGGGGACAGCGACCTGCAGCTGGACCGCATCTCCGTGTACTACAACGAAGCCACAGGTGAGGCTGGGGCCTGGAGCCTCACCCGCTGCACCGCCTTCCTTATTTTAATACCGATTTCACAGAACTTCAGAAGCGTGCTTCTCTCGCTTTCACAATCTCCCCTCCCATTTTTTCCCGTTTAATTTTGGCCGTTATATTCCTGGGGATAGGACCGCCTTTCCTTTTGCGGAATCTGCACCAGGGCCGAAGCCTCGCATTGCTGCCACCTGGTGGCAGAACCTGGAACGACAGCTCCTGATTCCCCCCTGCTGTCTCAACCTCAAGGCACCAGGTTCTCCTCCCTAGTTCTCACTTCTCCACTTTATTTCCTGCAGGTGGCAAATATGTCCCTCGTGCTATCCTGGTGGATCTAGAACCGGGAACCATGGACTCTGTGCGCTCAGGGCCTTTCGGCCAGATCTTCAGACCAGACAACTTTGTTTTTGGTGAGTTTTGTAGATGAATTTAGTACGTACTCACATTCAGCTTATTTGGACACGGGGAGACAGGTGACAAGGTGTTTGTAGTCTTGGAGAGCTTATGTAGGCTGTGCCCTGAAAGCTAATGGAGAAGAGTGACTGCCCGAGCGAGTAAGTTAAAGGAGAAAAAGGCACATCCGGAATTACCCTAGAAGTAGAAAGGGGGAGACATGCTCCCTACCAGCCCTTGTTAATAAAGCTTGCTTTCCTGCCTTTACCAGGTCAGTCCGGGGCAGGCAACAACTGGGCCAAGGGCCACTACACAGAGGGGGCAGAGCTGGTCGACTCAGTGCTCGACGTGGTGCGGAAGGAGGCTGAGAGCTGTGACTGCCTGCAGGGCTTCCAGCTCACCCACTCGCTGGGTGGCGGCACGGGCTCTGGCATGGGCACCCTGCTCATCAGCAAGATCCGGGAAGAGTACCCTGACCGCATCATGAACACCTTCAGCGTGGTACCCTCGCCCAAGGTGTCAGACACCGTGGTGGAGCCCTACAACGCCACCCTGTCCGTGCACCAGCTGGTGGAGAACACGGATGAGACCTACTGCATTGACAACGAGGCCCTGTACGACATCTGCTTCCGTACGCTCAAGCTGACCACACCCACCTACGGTGACCTCAACCACCTCGTCTCGGCCACCATGAGTGGTGTCACCACCTGCCTCCGCTTCCCCGGCCAGCTCAACGCCGACCTCCGCAAGCTGGCCGTGAACATGGTGCCCTTCCCCCGCCTGCACTTCTTCATGCCTGGCTTCGCGCCTCTCACCAGCCGAGGAAGCCAGCAGTACCGGGCCCTCACTGTGCCTGAGCTCACCCAGCAGGTC